AATTTCTTTTGTTGTTTATGATTCCGATATGAGAATTAAGTTGAAGTATGCTTCTGTTTGTATTATTGGGGTGCCTAGATCCTTTATTGGTTATGTAAAGCTGGTTGGTACAGGGTTCAGGTTCTCTCAGGTTTAATTTGGAGGGAACTGACGGCTTCAAATCAGCTATTCAGGAGTATCTACAGAAGCCGAATTCAGGCTCCAGTCAGGTACACTCAGAGTTTCTTCACTACGTGGAGGCAGGATCCCGGGGTTCTCAGGCAGTCCCCTGGGTTCTCAGGCCCTCTGCCAGAGGGAGGTCAGAGGGAGGCCAGAACTCAAGGTCTGTTGAGATCAGAGCCACTACACCAATGGAGGTCCAAACCCACTCTCTCAGGCTGTCTGCTAGTATCTTGGCCTTTGCCTACCAAAGCCAGATCTGCCCTGGGGTCTTGGGAGGGGCCTCACAAAATCCCAGGTAGGGGGATGGGTATGGTGCAATTAGGGGAAGCTCACCACCACGTGGAGGCAGAATCTGGGGGCTCTCAGGCAGTCCCCTGCCTTTTCAGGCCCTCTGCCAGCCGGAGGCCAGAGGGAAGCCAGAACTCAGCACTCTCTGGTGGTCTGCTGAGATCAGAGACGCTACACCGATGGAGGTCCGAGTCCACCCTCTCAGGCTGTCTTCTAGGATCTCAGCCTTAGCCTACCCACAATAATCATATTTTAAGAGTAATGGTTTCACTGGTTAACTACTGTTAATTTCTTCAATTGATAAATTTTGATTGGACTGATCCTTGGATTTAACATACCTTTAGAAAATTCTAATTAAGCAAAACCCAAAACTGTTTAGCTTTGGTGGTAATATCAGAGCTCTTGGACCTGAAGGAAGTGTAACCTTGGAAACCCTAATATGACTTTTCTCATAGGAAACTGATTTCTGTGTCACATGGGAGCCTCTTCCTTCTACTTTACCACATTTGTCTTTCTTGTTTTAATTTTAGTCCTCTGCTACATATAGTGGAGGCAGCATAGAATTACAACCTTCTTATAATTAGAAAAAATTTCTCAGGAAAACTTATTAAAATATTTTTATTTATTATTTTTATTTTATGTGTATGAATGTATTGCTTGCATGTATGTAAGTGTATCTGTGCCATGTAATGCACACAGAGTTTAGAGGATGGTGTCGGATCCTATATCTGGAGTTATGAACAGTTAGCTTCCATGTGAGTGCTGGGAACTGAACCCTGGTCCTCTGCAAGAGCAGCCAGTGCTCTTGACTGTGGAGCCATCTATCCAGCCCCAAGAAAATTTATTTCTTAGTATTTGAGTGAAAATGCTTTTGTGTTCTCTGATTGCTATCTGCTTCCATTCTACTTCTGTTCTTTCTCCAACCCACTTCCAGCTTAAGGCTGATCTGACCATTCAGGAGTTTAAAACAATGATTGTTTGGGGGTATTGGGTATTTTATCATGACAGATTGTCAAAAGTGATTTTCACAAGACATGATATTTTACACTCATTCATAACTAGAAAAGAAGATTCTGTCTTTGAGATTTACAGTGATTCTGTCCTGTCCATGGTGCTGCTAAGTGGTTCATGTTAGTGGTCTTTGCACAGAGCTGGCTTGTCAGCTACGACCCTGTTCTTAAGAAGGTGGGCAGTACATCACTCTAAGTTGCAGCACATCAGAGGAAGGGCCACATATACCTCCTATTTTAATTTTACAAAGATCGACTCTATCATGTAGATTTCTAGCTCTTTTTAGGAGGATTGACAGAAAACCTATAATTTATTAATCATTTAAAGAAACAATGAATTTGAAAAATAAAAAAGTATAAAATAGTTTATACTCAAAGAAAAGACAAGTCAGCTGCAAGACCAACTGTATCATGTGTGGTGGTAGTGGAGCATTCAGACAAGCATGGGACTCCTCTGAGCAAGGGGCCCTGTGTGACTAAACAGGTCTGCCCATCACATCCCTGAAGCCTGCCCTGACCAGAACTTGAGATAACAGCGAGGTGGAAAAGGAATAATCTATTACTGATGAAGTTACCCTCTCTCCATCTGTCTGGCTCTTACCTGTGTACTCCTCAGATGAGAGCCTCTCTCAAGGGGGCGCTGTTGTGACATCGGAGAGACTGGCACCAGCCCTGGTGTCTGGGAAGGAGCCCTAGGGGGAGGTTGCATGAGATGAGGTAGGCGATGGAGAGAGGGAATTTTCTGAACTGACCTGGAGGTGGGAGAGGGGATAGAGCTTGGGCTTTATTAAATGACCTGGGGGAGAGAGAGAGGATGAGTGTGGGAACCCTCTAACTTTCTAGCAGGGCAGTAAAGTTACTTAGCTTATCTGATCTCACTTTTCTCTCAGGCAAAATAGTGGTAACTACCTTGTAAGGTAATTGTGTGGATGAGAGATCAAGGAGAAAATACTGAGCTCAGTGGCTGGGATCCAGGGTCATTTTTTACAAGTGAGACACAGAGGATGAGTGAAGGGGTGGAAGAACTCAAAAGGTTTGGAGAACCGTGTAAGAGTTGGCTGCTTCTCTGTGATCCTCCTTAGTTTTTGAGTGCTTTGGCGCTGTCTCCAACTCAGAAATGCATCTTCTCCCCAAAGAGGGTAAGAGCAGCCTGTGGGAAGTCAGCACACAGTGGAGTTCAGTCTCCAGCACTGAAAATGTGCCAATTTTCACCCACAATATGGAGATGAAACAGCAGCTGTGGCAGACAGTGGAGTACAAGCTGTGGGGTCACTGGGTTGCAGTGTGCTTACAGACGTTTTATTTATTCTGAGATTTTGTAATTTGCTTTATCCAGTTAAATTTCCATGTTATATGGAGAATATAGCTAAAGTCGCCTTGTGAGGTTTTCCCACTTTATTTTGATTTGTTGTTTGTTGTTTACAGTATTATCTCCAGTAACAACAATGGAATTTCCTTCCCTACCAATCTGGTTTATTTCCATCTTGCCTGTTTATTTTTAATTTCCTTTTTCTTGGCTTGAAACCTCCCTATGACTCTGCTTTGTTTATTTCCTTGCATGTATGTGTCTGCTTAGAAGTTTGTCCATTATTAATTATGTAGGTTCTGTTTCCTGACTCCTAATGGGAATGTATTAGTGCTCTGTGTTTGTATTTCATGATGGCTTGAGTTAGCATTTTCCTCTTAGTTACTCTCTGCAATCAAATGGCTTGCTGCCCATGGCTTACAGATGGAGCATATGAGGCCCTAAGGCAGAGAAAGAGCTCTGTAGAGAGATGTCTCAAATTCTTTGATGTCATCCTGACCCTCTTGCTGACTTCATTTTCCATTTACTCTTATTTGGCAGAGGGTGCATGAGCAGAAGACCTGCTTTTTACAAATATGCTCAAGTCACTGAATATAGAGCCACAAACCACAGCTGTTAACGAGCAATTCTATCTTGCAATATTAGTGGCTTGGGGTACATGCTGAATGCCAGGCTTATTCCCTTCCAAGGAAGAACTTAGCCTACTAAGCCAACAAAGTAAAAAGAAAATAATGACTTTTTAAAAATCTGTTATTTGAACTAGCAAAGTGCTGCCTCATTTTTGCTAGATTCTCATGATTTACTGAATGATTAGATTAAAATTAATTTAATATTTATACTTTCTCTGAATATGACACCATTTCTAGACTCAAGACACTTAAAAAGAAGATGGAAATGGAGTTGAAAGTAAGCAGATAAGTAAAGTTGTGGTTGACACCTAGAAGTCCACTCAGAGTACCTAGAGAGGGCAACCTTTAAATTTCTTGGTGGTGTGGATTGGAGAGAACCAGATCACAAACAAACACTAAAATGATGTTGTATTGGGAATCAATATGTGTTTTCAAATCCTGAAGTCATGTGGCCGAGGAGGCCAGTAGTGAATGCTCAAATAAGAGAAGGGAGAGAAAGATGCCAGGTGCATGGAATCTTAGCTACTATGTGAAGAAAACCATTAACAGTTACATTTTATAAAATTTACCCTGAGAAGGGTGTGTTCACAGGGATTTGAATAGAAGCAAGAAGATTCTGTAAGACAGTGTAGTACTGTCAAGATATGATGAGATTTTGACAAGAGCTGTGGCATATGGAAAGAAGTAGAAGTAGAGCTTATAGGATAATTATCAATTTAAAAATCTTATATTACAACAACTACCAGCGAAACCACAGCCCAAGAAGGGAATCTTCCTTTGCTTCCATTGCAGCTTTTTTCCCCTGCATGGTGCTGGGGCTCTAACCAACGCTAGGTGAGCACTCTACCATTGAGGCACGCCCCAGGCCTCTGTCACAGTTTGGAAATATCCTTCTTACAGAATTTCACACACTATATTACATGCTACATTATTAATACTTGTTTGCAGCCTTTCTGTCCTGGGACTCTAAGCTTTGGAGGTTTGAAACAAAATTACTGAATTATTTGTGGTTGCCTAGCATAGAACTTTGCATACATAACTTCCCAGGGCATATTTGAAGAGTAAAAATGTCCCAGTGCTGTAGCCAGTGTGTCTTCCAAACTGCCACAGGAAATAGAGAATATGAATAGACCACTGAGATTTGCCTTCCATCCACCCATTTCCACCTCTCCCCAGGGGCCAGAGCAAAATTACAAGCAGCTATAATAAACAGATATTTTTGCTCAGCTTTAAAGCTTGTATCATGGGAGCTAAAGCAGGACCTGAGTTATGTTTCCAGCACCCTCTTCTGGCCTCTGCAGACACCTGTAGCCATTGTACATACCCACACACATACACATAATTAAAAATGAAATCTTTAAAAAATAGAAATAAAATCTGTATCACTGCCCAGCATCAAACTGTGTTCCTATATTTCCAGAAGCCTGCATTAAAATACCAATAATAAATATTTGAATATAAAGAGTGGCTGTAAGAGCTATGTCTGTTGAAGTGTTATCTTCATTGGTCTAACTGTTTAGAAGTCAAGCATGATAATTTGTTTTCTTATCTCTTTTAATATTATTTATGGTTTTAACTTGAATTGTATTTTATTCTTACATGCAGATCCGTAATGCCTCCTGCTTGCCTCTTTCACGATGGAGGGGAAACTTGTGGGAGAGGCTACTCAAGTGGTGTCTAAAGTCAAACTTTCCACCAAAGTAGAAAGCTCAGGACATTGGCTGGTGGAAGATCATGCTCGAATATGGGAAGTTTTAAAGACAGAGGAGGTAAGATGGTACTAAATGGCATAATTAATGCAGTGATGGATTTGTTCATACCCAATACTAGAATTCCTAGTGTTGTCAGCACCATAGGCAGCTTGACAAGTTGGCTCAGGGACCATAAACACAGCCAAGACTAGGGGACAATTATCCAGAGATACATCCTTTTGGCATTGATGACTGCACAGGTAAAGGAAGGTTCACTGGCAACCAGAGCTTAAAAAATAGTGACCTGGGGGCTGGAGACATGGCTCAGTGGATAACAACACTGACTGATCTTGCAGAAGACCCAGGTTCGAACCCCAGAACCCACATGGCAGCTAACAACTATCCGTAATTCCAGTTCCAGGGGATCTGACAGTCCCTTCTGTCCTCTGCAGGCACTGCACGACACGAGTGCACTTAACTACATGCAGGCAATACATGCACACACATAAAATAAAAATAATAAATAAAACATTAAAAAAATAGTGATCTGAGGCTCATATGTACGTAATCTGCCCTCAGGCCTCAGGTATCCCCAGTGGCATAGATGAAGGCTGTCTTCTTCCTGCTCTCTCAAGGCTGTCCTTCTGAGATCCTCTTCTATATTAAGGCTATTATTATTGTCATTTCAACAGATGCTAGTATTTCTTCATCTGTGTTTGAGAGAGACAGAAAGAGAGAGACAGACAGAGACACAGAGAGAGAGACACACACACATATTCAGAAGAAATAATAAAATCTGGCTTTTATTCTTATGTGTTTGGATAAAATCATAAATAATGGTAAGGTACTGAAGAACCACTTTCTTAAGGCAGAATTGATTGAAAGGCTCTAACAGGAAGACTGGAAATGAGGATGGAGTTGTTAACCTGAGCATGGGAAAACCCTGACTTCACTCACCTAGGACTTCTCTCAAGCTGAGGTGAAAGCTCTGAGAGAGGTCCCAAACCAAGAACTTTAAAACAATAACATGGTATGGAAATGTGATAGGAAAAATATCGAATACTTAGTAAAAGGTACTGGGAAGACCAGCCCCCTGCCTGGGGGCTTTCCTTGCCTTGGTTAGTGGTCCAGGGTCTGGTCCACAGCCTTTTTTTGTTTCTCATACATCTAACAGCAGAGTACTCTTAACAAACACAACATGATAATGAAAATAATAATGGAAGGAGGAAACTTGAGAAGTCTATGCTGGTATGAAAAGTTTTTGAGCTGATAGTCTTAAGTTTTATCTTAAAACTTGTCCATTTGTTTTCCAAAGCGGTGGCAGCCAGCAGCGCATAGACATTTTCCCTGTTGTACATGACTGTCAGTTACTGGAACTGCTAGATTTCCTGATTTTTCTGACCTTAGTGATCTAAAATAAAAATCTTTTCTTTGCGTACCAGTTCTTTTTGCTTCTCAGTTTCATCCAAGAGTGTTTAAAAAATATTTTAAAATTTAAATTATATTTTATCTATTTTGTGTGTGCACACGCATGTGTGACACGGCATATGTGCAGAGGTCAGAGGACAGCTTGAGGGAGTCAGTTCTCTCCTTCCAGCATGTGGGTCCTGGGGATTGAACTCATGTCTTTAGGATAGGTGGCAGGCTCCTTTACCTAATGAACCATCTCAGCAGCCTGAGCCTACTTTTAGTTTTCCTTTAGTATTTTCTTTTCTGGGGCTAAAATAACAAAATCCCCTCTTCTCTTTCTCTTCTCTTTCTCTTTCTCTTTCTCTGTCTCTTTTTCTTTTTCTCTTTCTCTTCTCTGTGTCTGTGTCTGTCTCTGTCTTTGTCTCTCTCATACACACACACACACACACACACACACACACACACACACACACACATACACATACACATACAATATGGTATCTTTCCTTGATCTGGAAATGTCTCTACAATTTTTTAAATTCAAAATTTGCTGCATTCTCCTTTTTATCTCCAACACAATTGATACTTATTTCACTCAGTGTTCATGTTATCCAACCTCTTGCAGGATTACTGTGTTTTATTCCTCTTTGTGTTACACTCTGATTTATTTCAGATCTATCTTCCAACTCATGAAGTCTACATTTTTACTTCTAAAAGTTCAATTTTTTTTCTTTTAAAAACTGTCATTATTTAATCAGCCAGGTGAGGTGGCACACACCTTTAATTCCAGCACTCGGGGGGTAGAGACAAGTGGAGCTCTGTGAGTTTGAGGCCAGCCTGGTCTACATAATGAGCTGGGGCTACAGGGAGACCCTGACTGAAAAAGACAAAACAGACTTTTGCTTCCTATTCCTACTTTTTTAATTTTTAAAGTCATATTTATTAAAAACTGGGCAGAATCTGAGATTTTACTTGTATTTGCCTCAGTTTTGTGGATACTGAAAGAATGCATGAGCCTCAGAATAACAGTAACCAGAGTGTCCACATGTTTGTTATATACAGTCCTATAAGAGGACACAGGTGAGCCCAGGTAGAGGCCTACATGGGAGTAGGGTGCTGGCCTGGGGAATCTTTCTATTTTCTAGTAAGCAGTGAGCAAGCTTGTATTTTCGTTTAGTGGGAGGCATTAGTGTATTCCTCAAAATTGCTTAAGGCCAGCCCTGAAAATGGCCTGGGTAAAGACTAATCTAGGTATTTAAAATTTTGACATATATAGTAAGACAGGTAGGAGACAGGGGAGACGCCATAATATTTTCCTAATAATAATATAATGATTTTAAATTTCTGAGTCTAATTACAAAAACTATGTGCCTTTTTCTATTATCTGATCTTTTAGTTAGCCCTTGTACAAGTTATTGGGTTTGTTTGTGATTTTTTTTTTCTTTTTGAGACAGGGTCTCCCCGTAGTCCCAGCAGACCTGAACTCACTATGTAGACCAGGCTGGCCTTGAACTCATAACGATCCACCTGCCTCTGCCTCCCAAGTGTTGGGATCAAAGGTGTGTGCCCCTGCACCCGGCTTTGTTTGTGATTTTTGATTGAATTAATTTTTCTTGAGATGAGAGAAATTTTCTCCAGAGAAAATGTCCATTTGTCTAGGAGGATTGCCAGCTGAAAGACACTTTAAATTCTTAGCCCAATATTTTCCAGACTACTGAATGTGAAGACAGGATGGAAATCACGGACGGGTATGTCTGTGGATTCTAAGTGTGTTTGTGTGGGAAATCCTCTGTATCCCTGTTCCGCATCAAGGCCAGCCTGTGTCCTCTTGTGGTAATTGGTACATGGTGAACCAAACAAACACCTGGACACCCTCTGTTGCTTTCACTGAGTAATAAAGTCTTTTATTCTGAGCACAGTTTCAGGGCAGTCAACTTCCTTGTGCTATCCTGGAGGAATATTATTACTAGCTCACCTTGATGCGGAAGGAGAAGCATTTTAGCTTCCCAGTTTTGTGCAGTGGGAATTCTTTGTAGATTTTGTGCATTGAACCAGTGTTGGACTTTGTATTTTGTTCTTTGCACGCCTTAAGATAATAAAGCCTACAATGTTTAAACCAACACTGAGCTGTAACAAATACATTACAAAATTTAAGAAACTTAACATAGTAAAAGTTTAGTTCTCAATTATATATTAATATCACTTAGATATTTCTGGTGAGGGTAGTGCTGTTCTCCATGGGGTAATTCAAGAACCCAAGCTACTTCCTTGTAGTTCTTCCATCCTGTAGGGCCTAGGAATTATCTGTAGTTAGCTAGCAGTGTGCAAACAAAATGAAACAAAAACCTAAACAAAAAAACCCAAATCCAAGCCCAATCCCAAACAAAAACAAAAGAAACAAACAAAAACACAAAACAAAATGGAAGCCAAAGAAGAAACACTCACTCTAAATTCTCTTGTGGCACGCAGCATATAAGTTCATATTTTATTGCTGAGAGCTAGTCCTCTTGCCCTATAAAGATGGGGTGGGGTATAATTCTTGTTTGGGCAGGTTCTCAGAATGAAGATCTGGATCTGTGACAGGGCAAGCACAAATGAAGTCTGGTTGACAGTTAAACAAGTGTCACAGAATACAAGGCCAGACTTCACCTGGGGTGCCTCATGTTCTCTAGGGATGGAAGCCGATCTCTGCGCTTATCTGTGTTGGTTTTCCCTCCATGTAGGCTTTGACTTTGGAGAAGTCTGAATTTATTGCCACCTGATCAGTGTATTGAAAAGGATATCTTGGGTTATTATATTAAACATTTTAGAGCTATTTTTAGTAAGCCATTAGGATATTCAGTTTTTCAGCATAACATGGGGCTAGAAACCTGAGTTACTTAAAAGTACGAAAAGTGTGCTCTTACAACTGAAAAATCTGCTTCAAGCTTTGACTTTGGAGAAGTCTGAATTTATTGCCACCTGATCAGTGTATTGAAAAGGATATCTTGGGTTATTATATTAAACATTTTAGAGCTATTTTTAGTAAGCCATTAGGATATTCAGTTTTTCAGCATAACATGGGGCTAGAAACCTGAGTTACTTAAAAGTACGAAAAGTGTGCTCTTACAACTGAAAAATCTGCTTCAAAAGTATGGTGTTTTTTTTTTTTTTTTGTCTTTTTGGGACAGGGTCTCCCTGTAGCTACAGCTGGCCTGGATTTGATATGGAGACCAGGCTGGCCTTGAACTCACAGAGATCCACCTTCTTCTGCCTCCCGAGTGATGGGATTAAAGGTGTGTGCCACTACACCCAGCCAAAACTATGCCTTTTAAAACATATTATGGTAATTTTAGGTAACATTTTTTATTATTTTTGTTATGTTCAGTTATGTGCTTAGTTATGTGAACATATTTACTACTGAATTCTTGTAATCATTTAAAAGTTTCATGTAGGTAAAAATCAGTGTCAAGTATATTTGAAGTTAAAATGTTTTGATTTTCAGTGTAGTGATTAGTTGTAGCTATTCCATATAATGCTCTTAAAATATAAATATTTAATCTTATATTATAAATAAAACTTACATTTAGTAGAAAATACTGTAATCTTTACAGAAGGTTCATGCATGAAAATAATCTTGTCTCATAAGGTCTCTGTATCTCTTTGTTTTTAAAGTGAGCAAGGGAGCA